GAGGAAAGCTGTGCCGTTAATACGAATGTCCTGGATGGTTGGTGCAGCATCGAGTAAATCAGTCAATGCGCAACCATCAACAGGATCCTCTCGACTAATAGCGTCCGGGCCCAGTTTTATGCTTCGCAACCGAGTGCAAGGTCGTATCAGAGCGGGCAGTATGATGGAAGCGATTTGACTAGAATTGGCCGCCTGGCTGGGGAGAGATTTGCGGAGATTATTCATTTTAGGGGACTGGGGCGAGGCGAGGCGAGGCGAGGTTTGGGGGATGGATGGGGGGATCTACGAGTACGTGCTGGTACGTACTCTAAGGGTCTATCTACCTGAGTTTGGAGTGGGGTGTAGACTGGAGATGGAGGGTGAGAGGTGGTGATGAGAGTTAGGGGAGGGATGGGTGTGATTCAGGGCGAGGGAGAGAGAGAGATGTGTGAATGACGTGTAAGGCTTCTTTCTGCTTCTGTTCTTTCGCTTCATTTCTCTTTGGCGTTGGGGAGCGTTGGAGGCGATCGCGGAGGGGCCGCTTGAGTTAGAGAGACCGAGGTTGGAGGACGAGGTGTTGGAGTACATGTGTAGCCGACTAGGAACATGGCTGCTGTGTATAGAGATGGTATAGTAGTACTCTAGTTGAAGATGATGGGCGATATACTGGACCACGATCGCAAGTACTTGTAGTAAGATGCGATAACACTCATGAAGCTAGCTAGCTTGCCACCTGTCAATGTACAGTACGATAGTAAACAATACACTCTCAACAAGAACGCGTCAGAACGCAGTACATATTTCCCATCAATCTGAAGGAAACACTCGCATCCGATCCAACCGAAATACCACCCTACATTCCCCTGTCGTACCTCAATCCTCCCGTCATCCTCCCGCCATCCTTCTACCTAACCAGCCTCACTTCTCCCAAAAGTGGGCCCTGCACGCCCATCATCCACACATCCTCACGTCATCTGCCCCATCCACCGCTCCAACAGCAACAAACCAGCACCGAAAGCAAAACCCACCCATTACAACGATATCCCTCCAGTTTCAGCGCACGTGTGTCTTGTTATCTCTCGATCACAGGAAAATCAGGGCGTCTTTGTGGAGCGCTGTCGGCAGCTGATGATGCGGTAGGTAGGTAGTGTGATGCGGGGTGCAGGTTGTGTGACATGGCGGAGGGGATTCGTGTTACTTTATCTACCTGGCATAAGAAGCGGGACTGTTTGTATAGGTAGAAAGGTGCATGAGAGAGTAGCAAATCGATCATTACTCCTCCATCATCTCCTCTTATTCCAACCTATTTTTACTCCCTCTTCACTTTCTCGGCGGCGTACAAGTACTACACCACAGCCGCGGAAAGAAAGCTCCTCATTTCCTACGGTAAATCGCCCACGAGCAACGCACGAAAAATCTCGAATCCAACACAACAGCGCAAATGATCTCCCTCCTAGGTGTCCTCGGCGTCGTCCTCATCACCGGGCTGAAGCTTACAGCACTGGGTCTGACATTCAAGTGGATGACGCAATAACATCTTCCCCGCCCCCTCGGCCGGCACTTCTACTATGATCTACAAAAAAAAAGCGAAAAAAAAAAAAGACAGCCGGAGACACAGGAAAAAGAGCCGTGTCGTACCACAGCACCAACCAGTTCAACAGTCAAGATAGTAAAGTAGCAAGTAGCAAGTAGCAAAGAAAAGAGAGACAGCAAACTTGGCGCCATAGCCCCGCTGTAAGACGTCAACGAGCCTCACAAGTCCAAACTACCCCGCACATACCATATACTCTATATATAACGCAAGGCTGTGAAAACACCACGCAAGAGATCAAGTCCAAACCGCCAAACAAACACGAAGCGAAAGAAAGAAAAGGAAAAACACTCCCACCTCCAACCCCAACATCCCCCGCCCCCCAAAAAATGCCCTATCCCCCTCCCCCCTCCCCTTTCACAACCATCCCCATCCTCTCCCTCCGCACCGCCCTCTCCCCAACCACCAAACCCGCCCTCCTAAGCGCGCTGCGCTCCCCCCTGCTCCACACGGGCTTCTTGTACCTTACCGACACGGGGCTGCCGGAGAGTCTTGTGGGGGCGGGGAAGGGCGCAGTGTGCCGCTTTTTTCGAGGACTTGCCGGTGGCGGAGAAGGAAAGGATTGAGATGAAGCGTGTGGCGAGTTTTTTGGGCTGGAGTCGGGTGAGTTTGTGATTTTTTTTTTGTTTATTGGAGAGGGGGAAAGGGAGGATAAGGGGGTTTGTGTGATTTTGATGGCTTTGTTGCAACTGTCTTTTCCATGTATTTTTGTGTCAAGCGCCTGGGTTGCTCTGGCCCATCTATTTCACAAGACAGTTGGCATTCTCACATCTCATATACACATTGAGAAAAACAAAGGGGGGGTTTGATCCAAGCAGTCTATTAAACTCCGTCCTACCCGCCATGCCTTGAAAAAAAAAAACTGTCTAGAAAACGCGGATGGATGCATGATGGTATTACGATGCCAGACCAAAAAACAAGGAAAAAAGAAAGAGGACCCGATAAAAAAAAAGATGAAGACAGCAAGCCGTTGAAAGATCTCAAGAACGACGAAGGAGGCAAAGAAAGGGGAGAGAAAGAAAAGAAAAAAACCTCCCGTTGCCAGAAACTATCATACAAGAAGAAAAATCGTACCCATGCGCCGACAAGAATAAGAAATGGAAGAGAATCTACAACCAGGGTATCTCTCGAAAAATCTGCAGACATACTCGATATACGCCGCACCATGCTTGCTTTCCATTTCTCGATGATCGTTTCCCTCCTTGTCTGTTCTTTCCTTGATCCCCCTCTTCTTCCCTGCCTGTACTTATAACGCGACAGTCATTATGAAGATTGAAGAGAAACAAACCAGGATAAAGCGCATAGGCTAACTCCCATCCCCATCACCCTACACGCAGATCGACAATGAAACCACAGCACAGAACCCAGACCATCGCGAACAACTCGATCTCTCGACGCCCCACCCCATACCGGAGCCCTCTGCACCACTCTATCATAACCTGCTTGCGCCCAACCAATGGCCGTCCGCACAGCACCTTCCCGCCTTCCGCCCCGTCTATGAAGAATACATGCAGCGCATGTCGGACATTGCCACGCTCTTCACGAGCCTGATCGCCGAAGCCATTGGGCTGCCGGCCGATGCATTCGACAAGTTCTTCGACGCGGATCAGCAACACAAGCTCAAGATCGTCAAGTACCCGGAAGTGGATGTTCCGGATTTGCCGAGCGGGGCATCGGAGGAGTCGAGGAAGGCCTGGGAGATCAGGCGACAAGGCGTGGGTTCACACAAGGATAGCATGCTCACCAGTTACTTGCTACAGGCAAGCAACCAGCCCGGCTTGCAGGCGCAGAATGCAAAGGGCGAGTGGATAGATTGCAAACCGATAGAGGGCACCCTGGTAGTGGCAATTGGGCAGGGCATGGAGGCCTTGACGGATGGTGTCTGCGCCTCTACCACCCATCGCGTGCTCAGTCCACGCAAGGGTGAAGGAGCACGGTACTCTGTTCCCTTTTTTCAAGGCGTAAGCTATGATGCCAAGTTTGAAGCCATGGACGTCCCCGGGGACGTTCTCCAGCTGCGGGACGAGGCGCGTACATGGCGCAAAGACGACGTCGAGTGTGAGTTCGCCCGAGATTCGGTACTAGCAGCGTGCAGGAGATTGGGGTGTGGACGTGGTTCGTTTCGCTGACCCCAGTCTAGTCACGTTTGTGAAGGGCCGATGGGGTCATCTCGGCGAGGCAACGCTTATGAACAGGTAAGCCATACACACAGGAGGCGCGACTGGCGACGTTGAAACCATAGTGGGCTATGTGCTGACACTTTGTTTTACTACCGTGTTTGTAGAGTGAAGAGCCACCCCGACGTTGGCGAACGCTGGTAGTAAGTAATAGTCTCTCTCTTGTCTGGGGCCGTCGAGGCCTAAGGTTGCACGTGATAGATGGCTGACTTGCGGGAACCCAACGTTTTAGCCCAGAACTCCTGAAGCAGATCCGCGCAGATCAAGCAGCCACGGCATAGAGATACGGCAGTTGTACTATGGAGGCGTCATAGCAGAGCAGTATGTAGGGTATGGGTAGTGCACTGTAGGTAGTAGAGTAGTAGGTACTACCATGGTAGCAAGTGCAGGTAGTAGTAAGCAAGCTGCAAGCCAGCAATATTGGACATGGAAGACAGAACAGCTCCGAGGGTGGAAGAGGAAGAGAAGACTCGCGATTCCTTCCCTACGTACACAGTACTCTCTCTCTACGCTCCAAAGGCACATGCAGCGGACCCGTGTCGGTGTGATGGGTATAGGAGTACGGCCAATGGCAGATTTGGATTCGAGGCGACAGTGAATGCGGGTGGACAGAGGAGGCATGGGGGAGTGCGGTGAAGGGAGCGCCTGACCTGTCCTGGCGGAGTCTGTTTCCTGACATGGCATGGGGCGGTCAAGGCTGGCGATTGGCTGGAACTGGCTGGGATGGGCTAGGCCAAGGGCGGCCTGCCATTGGGCTACGGAGACCGGGGCCATGTATCCGGGCTGCGGGACACCTGGCCTAGCGCGGCTTGGCAATAGTGAAAAGGAGTCTGCTCAGTGCTGGCCTCGGTCTCTTCGGCGGCTTTCTGTCCTGACGAGTACACACTTGCACGCGCATACAACACACAGACAGTACACACAGTAGTGCACCCGTTCTCCCGCCTCTTCGGTTGACCGGTCCTTCCACGCCACGCCCCGGAAATGAGGGTGCTGCGCTATCGATAGCTGCCGCCTCCATACATTCGAGCTTCATCGTTTCATCTTCTTCTGGGAAGCCCTCGCACGCAAGCGCCACGCGCCTACATGGTCGACCGAGTGCGCGTGTGGAGCGGCAAGCCACGTTGCTGTAGCTGGAGAGGGGTGGGGGGAAAGGCTGCGCTTGTCCTGGCCTGACCGCTCGGTTGTTTGGCCCAATGCGGACACCATCTCGGACAAAGTCGAAGCGTGCTTTGGGCCCCACGTCACCCCCTCCTCCTCAACGACGAGCTTTCTTCGAATATTCCTTTGCTTCCACGCCGTCGAGCTTCGAGAAGACGTATCCACCTCTTTTGAGCGCGTTTAGCTTGGCTCGCCTGAATCCTTCAGTCTGCAGCGGGACGTTGTTCCTGGGCGACTGCAATCCTGAACCCACATGTGGGGCCTTCGTATTAGCGTTTCATTGCACTTCATGCCTCTGCGGGTGGGGGGACGACGACGCGGATCCGTGGGAGAAGCCCGTCCCAATGCGGGTTTGACAGCTTTGGTCATAGCGCCTTGTTGCTGGCGGTGAGCATCGGTAGCGGAGTTACAGACGCAAAGCGTGCTATCGTCGTCGTAGACGTCGAGTGTCATTCGCCCGAGCACAGGTAGAATGCAAGTAGAGTGCGTGGCAGACCGTATCGCCCAGCGAAAAAGGTTGCGTGGTTGGTAATCGGCAAGACCTTCGCTTCTCGGACGATCATCCTCTGGAAGCCAAGGTGATTTAGTTTCTTATGGGGACCGGATACTTTTGACCCTCAATGTTCTTGACTCGTCATCCATCAGACCCGCATCTAATGCTTATTTCGCCAGACTTCAATGCTCAACCTTCATATTGGACGACATGTGATGTTGGTACATGATGTGCTGTCCTTGTTCGTTCATCATTTGGTTTTGCTGGTGCTGGGCATGCATCATGGGCATGTCATTGGCATGGCTGACCTGCGGTGCATAGCTTTGCTGCTGACCAACTGGATAGGAATACGGTGCAGACGTGTGTTGCTGACCGTGTTGGGCAGCTCCTTGACCTGGAGCTGACTGGTGGTGCATGGGCACGCTCATATGTCGCTGGTACTCGGACGTATGAGGAGAAGGATGCGATGTTGGTGTTCCATAGCTGGACATGGTCATGGGCTGCGAAGTGACCATGGGCGGATTCTCCAAAGGGTAGGACATGGCACGCGTGTTGCTCTCCATGCCGTAGGTGCCTGGATAAGCCATGTTGGAAGGCTCAACAGCGTGTATTGATGCATCTTGGACAGGCATAGATACCTGGTGGTGTTGTGGGTGATTTGGGTGGGGACTCCATCGTTGCACATCGCCCATGGCAGGCGTCGGATCAACATGAGGCGAGGAAGTGTGGTGGGCATACGAGTGCTGCTGCTGCTGCTGCCAATGTCCAGGCTGAGATACGGGTGTCGCTATTTCGGGCACTGAATGGGCACTCCTGGCGGTTCCTGTTGATCCTCTCCGAGGCTGGCTGAGCATCTGAACCCGGTCACTTGGCGAGGGAGCGCCTGTGACTTGTAGAGTCAGTCATACTGCAATGCCCTTACATAGACTTGGGAAGCGATTCTGCTGTTTGCATCTCGCTTACAAAAGAGTAGGAAGCCGATGTCACAGAAACTGCGCGTAGCCGAAACGGGGAGCGGAAGAGGGGCATGCGAAATGGGAGAAAAAAGAAACATGACGAAAATAGGGTCGGACCACAACGGGAGCGCTGTGGCCCGAGACAGTAAAAAGCAAAAAGAAAAAAGGGACCGTCATTTGCTGCAAGCAGAACATGTGGACTCTGTGTGCTTCATGAGAAACTTGGAATGCTAAACGTACCTGTGCCTTGCTCTGGAACGCCAAGTGCAGAAACTGCGTGGGAAAGGCGAGCGCGAAGGACTGCGTTCTCAGCTTCGAGCTCGTCGTTTCTTCGCATTATTTCCATCATCTTGCCGGATGAATTGCTGTCGAGTTGAGCAGTGAGGTCACGAACTTGGCGCTCGAGCGTATCGATGTGGTCCTTTGTCCTTTGACGAATGGCTCGTTGGGCCTCTCGGTCGTTGGCTCTCTTGCGTTCCAGCTGGGCAGCTGTCAAGGTTGTGACGCTCCGAGTACCTGCTCTTGAAGGTCGCTTCTTCATTCCTGGTGTGCTATTCTTCGCCTCTGAACCAGAAGAATGACCGTCATAAGGCGGAGATCTCTTGGTCTGGTCCATATGAGGCGAGTGGAAGCTGGAGGTGCTCATGAAGTCGCTTCTGTAGGCGATGGGGTCTCGATAGTGGAGTATTGAAGTCATCGAATATCCACGCGAGGCGGTGTAAGAGGATATGGGATGAGGTTGCTATGTCAGCGGGGGCCCAAAACAAATGGGGTCCAAGCTCTGTGACAATATCAAGCCAGTGACTACGTAGTATGTACGTTGACCGATGGGTGCTCCCGAATCTCAAAGATGGGGATATCGACGAGGGTTAAGAGCGAGTTGAGCCGGCGTGACTCGGTGGGGGGAGGGAGAGGGAGAAAAGGGCAGAGATGGCGGAGATTAAGGGAGGATTAGGGACAAGAGGAGAAGGGCGGAGCAGAGTTGTCGAAGGTCAGGATTGAGCGAGATCAGACATGGCTGGCAGGAGCCTATAACCTGCTATCCGGTCTCAATGAATAGCGTCTTCACGCCCATGCTTTTGACCCTGGCCTAGTGGCAGCGTCCTGATCCCGGCGCTGGAGGGAGCCACACAACGTGGGTTCTGGGGAAATCGTTTCATCTTAGCTTCTCCGATAGTGAGTGCGAGGCGTGGCCCCTGCACAGTGCTGAGCAGCACGCTCGTCAGCGGTGACAGGCAGCACCAGGCAAGCGAGCCTTGACGCAAACCTGTGCATGCACTAGCTCCTGGATATGGGCTCCCAACGGTGGTGGCATGGCTGGCAGCACGCCGCGTCGAGCCCGTCAAGCCCGTCGAGGCCCGGTGTATACAGTTGGTGTCGAGCGCGGCCCTGCGTTTGGCAAAGCTGCCATGGCCGTTCTAGAAAGCCACTACAAGCTCTGGGCTAGGATATGGCAGCCCGCCAAGGGTGGCATGGCCGAGTTCCTGCGCAACACCCCTCGGTCCACCTTACCTGCGCAAATACGCATGCTAGCCACTGACCAGCAGCTACCATACTAATAGTAGTCGTCTACTAGAAGCTAGAAAAGCGCCCGTGGCTCCCCACATAGTTACCGTGCTAGTACAAACATAGCCCACTGGGGGGAGGGGAGAGGGGGCTTGTGGTTGCGGTGAAGGGCCAGTGACCGCGTAAGCGGAAGGCTTGTTCCTGATGTCGCCATGGCCAACGGCGGACCGTGTCGCCATGACGGGCAGCAAAAAAAGGTGTCGAGTCGAGTGCCTGGTCGTCTAGCACGCGATGAAGCGGACCGTCGCGAAGATGGGACAGCGAAGGCCGACGCGGACAAACTGGGACGTTTGAGGAGCGTGGTAGGTAAGCCTTCCACCCCCATGCCGCGAGTACGTGAAGCGATGCCGGGGGTGGAGGGGGCGCGGGGGTCGTTCATGGGCCCTGGCCGGCGAGGGAGAGAGAAAGAGAAGAGACGAGAGAAGGGTCCGGGCACGGGATGCCAAGGCTGAAGCACGTGGAGACCCTGTATCGTAACATTTTCCTTCCCGAGTCTGCCGGGGGGGGGCCCTATAGCAGACTTGGGACCATGTAAGGGCAGAACCATGCCATGCTAGCCATGCCAACCATGCCAACCATCCAAGTCTGGCATTGCCGTCTGTGTTTCGTTCCGCCGACTACAGCAGCCGCCTCTGCCCGCCCTCAAGACCGTGACCCGTCTGGTCGGCGACTGTGGCCGCCATGAGGGCTAGCGTTCACGGGGGAGTCCATGTCTGAGGATGGTAGGATAGCTTCATCGGATGGAAGAGTGCGGCCTGCATGTCTACGGCGATCATGACAGGGGCAAACAGGATGCTTCCGCTGCGCCAGAGTCCACACAGTCTACATGGCCAGCCAGTCGTCGTCGTGTCGTCGTCGTCGTGGACCATCACTTGCGACCTGATGAGCAGTGCTGTCTATGTACCTAGCTATCTAACGGGATGGAATGAATGATACCGCTATCTCCCTGTGTGTACCGGTACCTGCGGTAACCTGCCCCTACCACTACCGCTACCACTCCCATGTGTTGCTATACAATAGTATATTGTAGAGCAGGCCAGAGTAGAGCCACATTCTGGTCTCTGTCATGTCTCCACCCTCAGGCCCATGGTTGTGCCTCTGCTGCTTGGGCTGCAAGGGGGCGTGCTCTGTTACATACAGAGCATGTACTATGCGAGAATTAGCTAATATTGGTAACTTAGTAGAACATCATCTAACCATGTAAATATTCCCAAACCGTCTCCCTGTACATATGCATACCTGCGTACTTACTTGTAATTTACGTCCCGTAGCCGACGACGGTACTTGGAACGACGGTGACGAACTCTACCTACCCTTACCTGTTTCAACCCTGGTGCTGTCTCTGCATACGCATACGTCTGCATGTTGCATATGCAGTCCAAGTACCTACATACAGTACACCACGTATGTACGTACACCCACCATTCCACCTGGAGGGGAGCTTGT